GTGAATCCAAAGTTTGTAGAGAAAAAAAAAAGAAACGATGCAGAGGAGCTAAGACAAAACTCCAATGGTGTCTGAACAGTACGGACAAAAGAGACTTTTGACCCAAAATCTCAGAGAGCGTAAACTATCTCTCCGCTACTGTCAACATCAATCTCAGATTCGGAATCAAAGTCATCCATGTCATCGTCTAGGTCAAGATTATCCGCCATGAAATCATCAAGGCAACGGTTTCGAACAGCTGGAATCGTAGCCTCTGATATTATCTGCATTATAGTGTCGAGGCTCTGCATCGGCTGCTCGGGATCTTGAAACTGACTACCCATTCTGTTCTCGTCCATCAGATCATTGGGAAGATTCTTCAAGAACCATTCATGGGATCTGATCTCCGGGATACTGATTCTCTGCCACAATTGGATCTCTCGGTTTCACATTAAGAACTCAAAATGTTTCAAAGAACATAGTTTTTTCCGTAATCGTATAACTTACTGTTGCAGGATCTGCCACAAAAATCCTCGATATTAGATGGCGACATTCTGGAGAAAGGTGCAAGTCCTCGGGGATCGAGTATGTGACACTAAGGATCCTCTGTGTTGCAGGATCAACGAAGAAGCAAACAAAAACAATCAAAGTTTGAAGGATAGTGAGTATGGTGAATAAGATAGCAAGAACTCTATTAAAAAAATGTTACTTGTATTGTCTTTCGATAATCTCTTGGCTCTTCTGGATCCTCAAATGGATATGCTCCAACCAACATTACATACAGGGTTACGCCGCATGACCATACATCTGCACTCTGGAAATTGTAAAACCCGCGTAATTCAGAGGACAACTCAAAGAATATTTGTGGTATAAACAATCATGGATAAGCTTGTTTAGCTCTAGGCAGAGGAATTAGTCTCATGGACTTACCTTGCCATCATATTCCTGTCGAAGAAGAATCTCTGGTGCAATGTATGCAGGAGTACCAACAGTTGACTTTGGTTGCGAATGAAGAACAGATGACTGAAGAAAATGGAATGCATAGTTAGGACTTAGGCAGAGAACTGAAGCAGAGACAGTTTTCAAAACAGCTGAATGAAACGTCAAAGAGCCAAAGAACATAACAACAAATGGAACGATGTTCCCGGCTGTTTTTTGCCCATGACCATATTTGTAACACATATGTACACAGAATTCTAGAGAACAAACCTTGAGAGAAATAGTACCTTGGAATATCCAAAATCACATATTTTCAAACGAGGGGCGGGACTTCCATCCAACAATGTATTTTCCAGCTTCAGATCCCGGTGACATATTTGCTTCATAGGGAAATCAACCCAAAATATTACCAGATTAAATCACAGAAACAAAAGCCAAGACAAGAAAAGCGAAAAGCTCAAGTTGCAAAAACACTGCTCTGCTGCATACCATTGCATGACAATAGCTAACTCCAGATATAAGCTGCTGAAAGAAGAACCGAGCCTGTGTACATTTAATAAAAAAAAACTCAAAGATCAGTAGTAGCACATCGATACTCCGATGCAGTGTAAGAGAAGTAGATAATCAGAATACAGACCTCATCTTCACTAAACCTCCCTGCATTACATATCCGCTCATAAAGCTCTCCACCAGAAGCATATTCCATTACAATAGCCAAATGGGAAGGCGTCAAAATCACCTAATAACATAACCAAAAACACTAAAACTCTAAAC